ATAACTTTTCGAAGTTAGAAACAAAAAAATTTCTTAGGAAAATCTTGGAAATGGCTCGGAAAAACTCAAAACTTTGATTTTCAAAAATGCTTTTGAAAATTTGAGTTTTTCACAAAATTATCTCGAAATCCACAAAAAACTCTAGACTATAGATCTCAAAATATTCGGTTTCAAACTGAGATTTAATTAACTGAAATCCACAAAAAATTTAGTGTCCATTTCATCGGAGCTTTTTAAGGCTAATAATAACCTCAAAATTCAGAATCTTCCGGGAAATGAATGTCGTCGAACTGAATCAGAAAACATGGTGTGTTGATGATTCCGGACTAAAATTTTCAAAACATTTGGTTTCACATTCATATTTTTTTAATTTCACTGGTCAACAGCTAAGCTCTAACTTTTATTATAGCAGTCAATTATTATTTAATTAACAATTTTAAATGATATTATAAAGGGCTAAACCAAAACTTAGCTCTCATTTAAAAGTAATCTTAAAATATTATCCTTGAAAAATACAAAAATCGTATTATTAAGTAATAGGAAACTTTCTATAAGGTGTATTTTTTTTGTAATCAAATTGCTACAAACTTCTTGGGAAACAATAAGAAAATTACTTTTAGTAAGTAGAAGACATGTTTTCATCATATAAAAAATTTAAAATTAACATATTCTTAAAAGTGCATTTTATACACTCGCACCTTGATTTTTTTCCCAAAAATTGTGACGACGTGAGTGACCATCATAGAGAACACATCCATCTGGGCATTTTGTCGATAGAAAAACGTTACCAAGATCAATGGAACACCTAAATTCTCGCAGAATACTGCGGGACCATCAAGCGAGAGATCTTCAATAAAATCTATAGGAGGCAACCGAAAAAACGTCGGTCTTCGCTGTTTTTTTTGTTTTTTTCGTTTTTTAAACTACATTCGTTGTTTTTTTCTTGTGTATGGTTGTTCTTTTGTTAATACTACACTTTTTGCCGTTAAAGATACAAAAATTAAATTGTTTTACCTGATTTTGTGTTTCTAACATCAAATATGCATATTTTTTTTAACTGAGCTAAGTTATAAGATTTATGCTCTTTGTTACAAATACAGAGACAAATTAAACGAAAACATTACAATTATGTCAAAGTTAGAGAGAAAAAATTAAATTTTGTTGACCAGTGTTTCCCAAAACTAGCCACAGTTCATTTTTGCGATTCTGGATAAATACAGGTATTTTCGTAGAAATCAAATCGAGAATGACTTATGCAAATTTATGCGAAAATCCACAAAACATCTAGCATACAAATATCGACGTTTTGACATGAAAAAAATAATTGGATTTTTTAAATAGTCGATCTCAAAATAAGTTTTCGGTAATGTATTTAGTTGAGTTTAGAAAATGTCAAAATTTTTGACCATGAAAAAAATTCAATTTTAAAAAAGTTGTCTAAAAATTATGAAAAAATTCAGGGACGTAGATCTCGACACGCTGATTCCAAAAATATTGCATGTTGATAGTGGCGAAGCAACATTTTCGAAAAAATCGCATCGAAATGGGAATTTTTGAAAATTTCAAAAATTTCGAAATTTCAACGGTCGATTCTGGAAAAACGGTTGAGGGTATCAAAAAACCGAAGCCGGATTTGAGTTCTAGAACTCGAAATCTACAACAAAATGGATTTAGTTGAGCTTCGAAAATGTCAAAATTTTGCGATATTTAAAGAATTAAAAAATTTCAATTCTAAAAAAGTTGTCTAAAAATTATGAAAAAATTCAGGGACGTAGATCTTGACACGCTGATTCCAAAAATATAGCATGTTAATGGTCACGAAGCAACATTTTTGAAAAAATCGCTGCAAAATGCGAATTTTTGAAAATTTCAAAAATTTCGAAAATTCAACGGTCGATTCTGGAAAAACGGTTGCATGTATCAAAAAACTGAAACCGGATTTGAATTCTACGGCTCGAAATGTACAAGAAAATGTATTTAGTTGAGTTTCGAAAATGTCAAAATTTTTGCGAAATTTAAAGAAGTTAATTAATAGAAGAAATTAAAAAATTTCAATTCTAAAAAAGTTGTCTAAAAATTATGAAAAATTTCAGGGACGTAGATTTCGACACGCTGATTCCAAAAATATAGCATGTTGATGGTCGCGAAGCAACATTTTCTAAAAAATCGCTGCGAAATGCATATTTTTGAAAATTTCAAAAATTTCGAAAATTCAACGGTCGATTCTGGAAAAACGGTTGCATGTATCAAAAAACTGAAGCCGGATTTGAGTTCTACGGCTCGACATCTACAAGAAAATGTATTTAGTTGAGTTTCGAAAACGTCAAAATTTTTGCGAAATTTAAAGAAGGGGGGCCAATTAAAAAATTTCAATTTTAAAAACGTTGTCTAAAAATTATGAAAAAATTCAAGGAGGTAGATCTCGAAACGCTGCTTCCAAAAATATAGCATGTTGATGGTCACGAAGCAAGATTTTCGAAAAAATCGTTGCGAAATGCGAATTTTTGAAAATTTCAAAAATTTCGAAATTTCAACGGTCGATTCTGGAAAAACGGTTGCATGTATCAAAAAACCGAAGCCGGATTTGAGTGCTAGAACTCGACATCTACAAGAAAATGTTTTTAGTTGCGTTTCGAAAATGTCAAAATTTTTGCAAAATTTGAAGACCATGAAAAAATTTCAATTTTAAAAAAGTTGTCTAAAAATTATGAAAAAATTCAGGGACGTAGATCTCGACACGCTGATTCCAAAAATATAGCATGTTGATGGTGGCGAAGCAACATTTTCGAAAAAATCGCTGCGAAATGCCAATTTTTGAAAATTTCTAAAATTTCAAAATTTCAACGGTCGATTCTGGAAAAACGGTTGAGGGTATCAAAAAACCGAAGCCGCATTTGAGTTCTAGAACTCGAAATTTACAAGAAAATGGATAATTCCGGAAAAATGGTAAGAATTTTCGAAGAAATTGAGCCACAAAAAGCTTCTGGAAGTCAAATTTAAAAAAATTGTCCATTTCATCGGAGCTTTTTGAGGCTAATAATTACCTCAAAATTCAGAAAAACTTCCGGGAAATGGATCTCGTCGAACTGAATCAGAAAACATGGTGTGTTGACGGTTCCGGACTAAAATTTTCAAAACATTTTTTTTTCACTTTCATATTTTTTTAATTTCACAAAAATAGCCACGGTTCAATTTTGCGATTCTGGATAAATACAGGCATTTTCGTTGAAATCAGGTCAAGAATGACTTCGGCAAGTTGAAATAAAAAATCTCTTTCAGCAAATTTATGCGAAAATCCACAAATAATCTAGCATACAAATATCGACGGGTTGACATGAAAAAAGTTCTAAGATTTGTATCTTAGAACTTTTTTCAAACATTCTGTTTGAAATCGAGATTTTTAAATTTCCAATAATTGGCTATATCTCATTTTGGCGATTCTAGAAAAATGCATCGAATTGTCTTTAATGCCTTTGAAAAAAAAAATGGAAAAATGCTGGAGGGTCTTGACTTTTTGTTTTTTAAAAAATTCGAAAATATCTCAGGGGCTCCTAAAATGTGAAAGAATCTTACAACCACTTATATTTTCCTTTCGAAAGAAGTTGAAAATAATATCGAAGACTCATGATATTGAGAGTCTGAAAAAGTTTTAGGGGTCTCTGCTTTTTGAGACATAAAAAAATCTTAGAGACCCTTTGGTTTTGTTTTTTCAAGAGTTTGAAAGAGTTTCTAAGTCCGCCACTATATTGTTTTAAGAAAGTTAAAGACTCTTAAGACTCAATATATTTTTTTAAGAATGTAGAAGAATCTTGCGGATCTTTGTGGTTTATTTTTGTAAAAATTTGAAAAAATCTTGCAGGGTCACGTTTTTTTTTTGTTTTTTAAAGATTTTGGGGAATATCTTCTTTAAAAAATGTGAAAGAATCTTGAGACCTCTTGTATTTCGTTTTTGAAAGAATTTGAAAAGATCTCGGAGACTTGTGTTTTAAAGAGCATAAAAAAGCTATTAAAGATTTCCAAGGTCTTGTTTTTGAGAATGTGAAAGAATCTTGGGGACTATTTGAATTTTGTTTTTTAAGAAGATTGGAAGAGTACCACAGCTCGCTAGTATATTTTTGAAGAAGTTGAAAGAATGCATGTTTTTTTTTAAGACAATCTAGAAAGATCAGGACTTTTAGTTTTTTAAAGAGATTGAAGGTGCCTCAGGGGCTCCTAGAATGTGGCAATAAATCTTTGAAATTGTGTTTTTTAAAGAATGTGGAAAAAATCTTGATGTACCCTTGCCTTTTATTTTTGAAACAACTTGAATACGTTTTGAAGGCTCCTAATGTCTGAATATTGCATAAACATCAATGTTTTCGCCGAGCCACCCTGTATGATTTCATTAACTTAAAAACTACGACCATAAACCACAACATAACTTACACTAAACTTAAAAATGTAGTCGTAACAACCCGCAGTCGTAAACCAAGTTTTCGTTCGTGTGTTAAGTTTCAGTTCGCCGAATTTGTAATTCCCCACCCCCATCCAAATTAAATAAATTCCACCGACGTGCCGGTTCTTGTAGCGTGTGACGTCGCTGTTATGACTTACCAACCAATATTATGAACTCCGCCAGTAAAACTAAAAACGTTACCCTCCCCCAGGCTTCGTTACGCCGGCAAATATTGACACCCTACGTGACCTTTTACGAATTTCATCCTGCATGCACTCGCTCAAAGAGCACCATTTTAAAAAAGTGTACATCACCTCTCGTCGCTTAGCCAATAAAAGTAGAACATCCGCACAACATATTCCTGCGACTATGAATCCTCATTACCAGCAAACGTGCGTCGTCCTGCTCCGATGGCATGTTCGGCGGAGATACAAAGGGGTGATTCATTTAATTGAGTCGCTTTTTATGGAATGCAATTCTGCCACGTTGGCGCTTTGTTCTTTTATTTTTCAAGTTGTTGTTTTATGTATGTCCCCGGACGAGTTTCAAGCATTTAAATTTTCAGGCAAGCCCAACCCGGCTAAATTCAGCAGCGCCTCTAGAGGGAGCTGGAAGGATAGCTACAATATCAGCTGGGCGGTGGAGTCGTTTAGTCCCATTGAAGAGTATAAACTGCTGTTCCGGAGGCTACCGGAGAATCCGGGCTCGGAGGATGGGCATCCGCAGCCGCTGCACCACCAGAGTCAGAAGAAATTCAACTTAGGAAGGGTGCGTTATATTTGAAGTTTTGCCGTTTTTAAAAAGAAAAATTGCATTGTTTATAATTATGTATTCGTGAAGGTCTAGATTTTAGATAAGATCGGAGCTGTTCAAAGTACTCGACAAAAATGCTTCCGTTAACAAGTACAAAGTTCTACCTAAAGTATTAGTAAAGCAAGTAAAGCACTAAATTTAATTTTAGAAAAAGTACTTTAAGTATCAAGTGTACTTGAAATGTTGCCCAGTACATTTTCTTTCAATTTTCTTTAATACTCGTAATTTAAGTGTATTTTAATATGTTTACAAAAAATTTCGTGATCATCTTTTTAACAAGAACATGACACAACAAAAAAAGATATAAAAAGCGATAAAGAAATGCGACTACAACAATAACAAAAAAAAACGACAAAAAAAAGGAGGTCCATAAAAAAAGACTGCAAGAACAAGGACAATAAAAATTCTCCAAAAAATGCTACTTTAAAAAATGCAAAAGAAATTCACATAAAAATAACAAAAAACGGCTAGAACAGGCGACAAAAAGTCACAAACAATGTGAAAATAAGGTCACATAAAGTGACTGGAAAAATGGATCAACAAAAGGGCAACAAAATTGAATCAAGACCAAAAATGCTACAAAAAGATCACAAAAAATGCGACAAAGATTCCGCAAAAAAGAAGCGACAAAAAAGGGAAAAACGTCGCAATAAAGTCGACAAACAAATGCAGCAAAAAAACAAATAAAAGCGCCTAAAAATTACAAAAAAAGGTTGCAAAAAATGTCAGTAAGAAATGCGAAAAAAAAAGTGTCGAATTTTTCTTTAATACTCTGAATTTAAGTGTATTTTAACAGAATATATTAATAAGGCACACAAAAATAGCTGATTTAAAGTTATTTGGAGTGAACTTCCCTCTTCCCGGCAGTAAATTATAAAATTTGATTTTACCAGTTTTATTTCTTTATGATCACCTCTCAAAGTTAAGATGTCAAACCCTAGGTAAAGAACTGTAGGTGTGCTACAAATGAATTTTTCAAAAGAAAATTTCAGAATCAACTTTTTAATAAGAACAAGATAAATGACAAAAAATAAAGATTATAAAAAAGAGGACAGAAAAGTGACGAAAAATGCGATTAAAAGAGGGGAGTCAAAACAAATACCTTACAAAAGATGAGAAGAAAAGCTACAAAAACTGATAGTTCAATAAAATGAAGAGAAAGACGATAAAGGCCGAAAAACAACCAAAAATTCCACCAAAAATAAATGTAACACAAAAAAATTACTTAAAAAATATTAAACTCACAAAAAGAAAACGAAAAAATAGCAAAATATGAAAAAAAATTGAAAATAAGGTCACAGAACTAACTAGAAAAGGGAGTCAACAATGGGAAAAAAATTTAAATAAGACAAAAAATGCGACAAAGAAGGTCACAAAAGATACGATCGATAAAAAAATCCACAAAGAAAGCTAGAAAAAGGCGACAAGAAAAGACAAAACAATCAATTAAAAGGAGAGGTACAAAAAACAACTAATATCGACAAAAAAAAAACGATGAAAAGCGGGTCAAAACAACAAAAAAAGCCACAGAAAATCCACAAAAAAGACTTCAAAAACAGAGGACATTAATAATTCAACAAAAAAATGAGACTAAAAATTCAACAAAAAGGACAAAAACACAACAAAAGTCCACCAGGAAAATGCAACAAAAAAGGCAACTCTAAATGACAAAAAAACGGCTTTAAAAGCGAATAAAATTAAACAAAAACGAAAAATACGGAAAAGTCCATCAAAAATGCAAAAAAAAAGTGAAAATAAGGACACGATAAAGTGTCTAGAAAAAAGGGCCAACAATGAGACAAAAAAAAATTAATACAAAAAATGCGCCCAAAACGGATTCAAAAAGTGCGAGAAAAAATCCACAAAAAGCTAGAAAAACGGAAAAAAAGCAGCTGACAAAAAAAATCATGAAAAAGGGGGACTACAAAAACGACAAAAAATACTATTAAAAAATTGGTCGAAGATTATTTCGACAGAACTTCCATCGTTCCTACACTGCAGCAAAACAAATCCCGGTCCTTTGATAAAATACAAAAAATACCGAGGAATCGAACAACCGAGAAATGAAAAAATTTTAAAAATCGAAAATTAATAAACGGAAAAATCGAAATCCGAAAATCGAAAGATCAATCAATATCGAAAAATTGAAAAAAATGAACTTTAAAAAATTCCCGAAATTGAAATGTCAAAAACTATATAAAAAAAATAAAAGTCCAAAAGTTTTAAAATTCGAAAAACTGAAGTATGTACATGCACACTAAAAAGTTTAAAATCGGGAATTTGAAACATCAAAAAATCCTAAAATCGATAAATGGAAAAATAGTTAAAACCAAATTTAAAAAATCGAACAAGTAAAAATAAAAAACTGGAAATCGAGAAATCGAAAATCTACAATTAAAAAAAATCGAAAAATTGAAGAATCGAAAAACTAAAAAATCGAAAAACCGAGAAATCGAAATTGAAAAATTGAAATGTCAAAAGATTAAGAAATCGATAAGCCCAAAATTCGAACAATCGAAAAGCGAAAAATTTGAAATTGAAACGTTTAACTTTAAAAATCCGATAAATCGAAAAATTATAAAAATCAAAAAATCGAAATATCGAAAAACCCCAAAATTTAAAAATCTTAAAACTGAAATATCTAAATTTGAGAAATCAAAAAATCGCATAATTGGGAAAACGAAAAGTCGAAAAATCAAAGAATCGCTTGACAGAGAAATTGAGAAAGGGAAAACTCGAAAATTTCGAAACGCCAAAAATTGAAATATTGAAAAATCGAAAAATTTGAAGAATCGAAACATTGAAAAATCGCAATATTGACAAATCCCAAAATTGAAAAATGTTAAAACCGAAATATCGACAACTTAAGAAATCGAAAAACTGAAGTATGTACATGCACACTAAAAAGTTTAAAATTGGGAATTTGAAACATCAAAAAATCCTAAAATCGATAAATGGAAAAATAGTTAAAACCAAATTTAAAAAATCAAACTAAAAATAAAAAACTAGATCTCGAGAAATCGAAAATCTACGATTAAAAAAATTCGAAAAATTGAAGATTCGAAAAATTAACAAATCATGAAATCGAAAAATCCCAAAACTGAAATGTTGAAAAATTGAAAAACTGTAGAATCGAAAAGTCGAAAAATCGAAAAACCGAGAAATCGAAATTGAAAAATTGAAACATCAAAAGATTAAGAAATCGATAAGCCCAAAATTCGAACAATCGAAAATCGAAAAATTTGAAATCGAAATGTTTAACTTTAAAAACCCCATAAATCGAAAAATTATAAAAATCAAAAAATCGAAAAGCCGAAAAATCTAAAAGCGAGAAGTCGAAAAATAGAAGTATCAAAAATTCAAAAAAAATTAAAATGTCGAAAAATTGAAAAATTTAGGAATCAAAACATCAAAAATCGAAATATCGAAAAATCCCAAAATTGAAAAATCTTAAAACAAACAGAAAATTTGAGAAATCAAAAAATCGCATATTTGGGAAAAGGAAAAGTCGAAAAATCAAAGAATCGCTTGACAGAGAAATTGAGAAAGGGAAAACTCGAAAATTTCGAAACGCCAAAAATTGTAATATTGAAAAATCGAAAAATTTGAAGAATCGAAACATTGACAAATAGCCATATTGACAAATCTCAAAATTGGAAAATATTAAAACCGAAACATCGACAACTTAAGAAATCGAAAAACTGAAGTATGTACATGCACACTAAAAAGTTTAAAATCGGGAATTTGAAACATCAAAAAATCCTAAAATCGATAAATGGAAAAATGGTTAAAACCAAATTTAGAAAATCGAACAACTAAAAATAAAAAACTGGAAATCGAGAAATCGAAAATCTACAATAAAAAAAAATCGAAAAATTGAAACATCAAAGGATTGAAAAATCGAGAAGCCCAAAATTCGAAAAATTTGTAATTGAAACATTTAACTTAAAAAACCCGAGAAATCAAAAAAATCGAAATATTGAAAACTTGAAAAATCAAAAACTTTAAAAATCAAAGAATTGAAAAACCGAAAAATCTGAAAGCGGGAAGTCGAAAAATCGGAATATCAAGAAATAGAAATATCTAAAATTTAAAAAAAAATCAAATGTCGGAAAATTGAAAAATCGAAAAATTGAGAAATCGAGAAATCAAAACATCAAAAAATCGAAAAATTGAAATATCGAAAAATCCTAAAACTGAAACATGGAAAACTTGAGAAATCAAAAAATTGAAATATCGAGAAATCAAAAAGTAGGGAAATCAAGAAATCGAAAAATCGGAAAAACGAAAATTCGAAAGATCAAAGAATCACTTAATAGAGAAATTGAGAAAAGGAAAAGTCGAAAATTTCGAAAACGCCAAAAATTGAAATATTGAAAATTCGAAAATTTTGAAGAATCGAAAAATTAAAAAATCGAAATATTGAAAACTTGAAAAATCAAAAACTTTAAAAATCAAAGAATTGAAAAACCGAAAAATCTGAAAGCGGGAAGTCGAAAAATCGGAATATCAAGAAATAGAAATATCTAAAATTTAAAAAAAATTCAAATGTCGAAAAATTGAAAAATCGAAAAATTGAAAAATCGAGAAATCAAAACATCAAAAAATCGAAAAATTGAAAAATTGAAATATCGAAAAATCCTAAAACTGAAACATGGAAAACTTGAGAAATCAAAAAATAGAAATATCGAGAAATCAAAAAGTAGAGAAATCAAGAAATCTAAAAATTCGAAAAACGAAAATTCGAAAGACCAAAGAATCGCTTAATAGAGAAATTGAGAAAAGGAAAAGTCGAAAATTTCCAAACGCCAAAAGCTGAAATATTGAAAAATCGAAAATTTTGAAAAACCGAAAAACTGAAAAATCGAAATATTGAAAAATTGAAAAAATCGAGAAATCAAAACATCAAAAAATCGAAAAATTGAAAAATTGAAATATCGAAAAATCCTAAAACTGAAACATGGAAAACTTGAGAAATCAAAAAATTGAAATATCGAGAAATCAAAAAGTAGAGAAATCAAGAAATCTAAAAATTCGAAAAACGAAAATTCGAAAGATCAAAGAATCGCTTAATAGAGATTGAGAAAAGGAAAAGTCGAAAATTTCCAAACGCCAAAAGTTGAAATATTGAAAAATCGAAAATTTTGAAAAACCGAAAAACTGAAAAATCGAAATATTGAAAACTTGAAAAATCAAAAACTTTAAAAACCAAAGCATTGAAAAACCGAAAAATCTGAAAGCGGGAAGTCGAAAAATCGGAATATCAAGAAATAGAATTATCTAAAATTAAAAAAAAATTCAAATGTCGAAAAATTGAAAAATCGAAAAATTGAAAAAATCGAGAAATCAAAACATCAAAAAATCGAAAAATTGAAAAATTGAAATATCGAAAAATCCTAAAACTGAAACATGGAAAACTTGAGAAATCAAAAAGTAGAGAAATCAAGAAATCTAAAAATTGGAAAAACGAAAATTCGAAAGATCAAAGAATCGCTTAATAGAGAAATTGAGAAAAGGAAAAGTCGAAAATTTCCAAACGCCAAAAATTGAAATATTGAAAAATAGAACATTTTGAAGAACCGAAAAATTGAAAAATCGAAATATTGAAAACTTGAAAAATCAAAAACTTTAAAAATCAAAGAATTGAAAAACCGAAAAATCTGAAAGCGGGAAGTCGAAAAATCGGAATATCAAGAAATAGAAATATCTAAAATTTAAAAAAAATTCAAATGTCGAAAAATTGAGAAATCGAGAAATATAAACATCAAAAAATCGAAAAATTTAAAAATTGAAATATCGAAAAATCCTAAAACTGATACATGGAAAACTTGAGAAATCAAAAAATTGAAATATCGAGAAATCAAAAAGTAGAGAAATCAAGAAATCGAAAAATTGGGAAAACGTAAATTCGAAAGATCAAAGAATCGCTTAATAGAGAAATTGAGAAAAGGAAAAGTCGAAAATTTCCAAACGTCAAAAATTGAAATATTGAAAAATCGAAAATTTTGAAGAACCGAAAAATTGAAAAATCGAAATATTGAAAAATGTTAAATTCGAAACATCGACAACTTAAGAAATCGAAAAACTGAGAAATCGAGAAATCGAAAAGTCAAAAGGTGAAAACGTCGAAAAATCGGGAAGTCGATAAGTTGAAAAATCAAAGAATCGATTTATAGAGAAATTGAGAAAAGAAAAAATTGAAAATTTCGAAACGCGAAAAATTTATTCTGTAAAACTTTGAGATGAATGAATAAATTTTGCTTAACGATTTACCATGATTAAGATAACCTTAAAATATTTACAAGATTTTTCAACAAGAAGAAAAGATTGCAGAAAAAATGCTAAACTTACAAAAAATGACTAAAAAATGCGACTGAAACAAGTTCAAAAATCCGACAAAATAATGCGACTAAACGAAGGAACTCAAAAATGCCACAAAAGGCAACATAAAATGCGGCAAAAGAAGACAAAAAAATGTTACAAAAAAAAACTAAAAACAAAACATACACAAAAGCGACAAAACACAGGAGAAAAAACAAGAGTACAAAAAGTAACACAAAAGTCGATAAAAAGGACAAAAAACGCAACAAAAAAGTACACAAAAAGACAATACGAGGAAAACGTGACTACAAAAAAACGATCAAAAATCAAAAAAAAAAAAATGCGACAAACAAATTGGTCTAGTCATTTAGACAAGACTTTCCTAGGAGCTGAAAAGAAATATTCAAACAAATTCAATGTGCTAGAAAAAGAAAATATCGACGAAGATAACTGTGACAAAATTTAAGGCACACTCATAAACCACATATATTATATACGTGTATAGGTGTACGTTATAAAGTGTAAATATGAGAAAAAATAGTTTATGTCATTTAATTTTTCGAAAAAGCTTTTTATTGTACTTCAAGGGCGAAGAAATAATAATAACGAGAGATAGGAAAAATAGATAATAAAAATCCTTCAGTTAATCTATTAACTAAAAAAAAATGAATTATTTTTCATTATCAGATCTTATTTATCTTATTCATGAAATAAGAATTTTAATTAAAAATTATTTAATAATTTTTTCTCCTTCACGAAAAATCGAACGTAAAAAATTGTCTGAATATACGCACACAAAGAAGAGAGTGTTAAAAATAAAATAAACTACTTACAAAATAAGTAACAAGTCGTCAAAAAAAAATTGATAAAACAAAAATAAGACAAAATTACTTTTACTCGATTTAAACATGTTGCATCCTTTGTTCATTATTATTATGAAGCGGAACACCACTATAAAACATTAGCGCTCCACAAAGCCATGTCCGCTGCAAAAAATGGTGCATAGTTCTCATTTTTCCTGGCTCCAGAGCCCGATCATGTTTCTCTGCAAAAAAAACAGAAACATTTTTCCCTCGAAAGCGCACAACGTGTATTGACCAGCTATCCTTAAATCGCAATTACTCGGACTCCTTCACCGCAAACAACGCGAATTAAAAAGCTTACGATTTCAGGAAAACAAGACCTACGGTTCGGTCTACTACAACGTCGGGAGCGCTTACGGCCGGCAGATCATCGACAGGAGAACAGACTGGCGGGACGTAATCCTTCCGGCGACTCAAGCACAGAACTCCGGGTTCCAGACAATGAGTTACGTGATTAGAGGACTAGAACCGGGCCAAAGTTACGAGGCAAAAGTGCAGGCACGCAACAAATTCGGCTGGAGCCCCGTGTCTGAGGCTTTTACGTTTCAGACCACAGAGACAGGTCAGTATAAATAACTGAGCGAACTAGGTCATATAGTTCCTAGAGTGAGCACAGTGAGCTAAAATAATCGTTTATTTGTTCCATGCACTCCTGTCTTCTATGCACCTTCCTTGGTTGATTTGCACTTTTTGGAACGTAAAGACCTGACTTTTCCAGACAGACCCCAGTCTCCTAGGCATGTCTATAATGGTAAGGAACTTGTCGAACTTGGTTTGGTATGTGTGGGATTACGTATATTTTTTACAATTTTTAATTTACTATTGAATTCATATTTCTAAACAAACTAAGTGCAGCAGAAAATAAACAAAAATCTATGTCCTCACCTTCTCTTCTTTCGTTCACTGACAAACTAAGCAGAGTGGAAATATTTTGGGAAGAACACAAATATTCCGAAGCGTGTTGTGATCCTTATAGTGTTCGTTTCATTTTTTTCAACCTTTATAGTTGTGCCTAATCTAAAAAAAACATATATACTTTTTAAAATGCCCCATTTCAGAATTCAAGTGATACGCCACTGCTCAAAGCCTAAGTGACAGATTGTGATGAGTCGGCATGCTCTTCACATAGTATTTCCACTCCATTGATCAACCGATATGTCAAAATTGCGCCAAAACTACCAGTACCTAATACAACAGCAAATAAATGCTACAGGGTAACGTAGTCTTCAGTTTCAGCAAATGTGAAAAATTTTCGTTTGTTTTTTATTACAGAGGCGGTACGCCGACGTGTGAACGAATTAAAATAACGTGGAGACGAGGATCCGCGTGTGACGTCATTGGTGCTAGCAGTAGATTCGGGATAGAAGAATTAGAACTTGACGTAAATGTAATTTCGTCTGAAATTGTCGCGTTACGTAAAAAAGAGGACTAAAAATCAAAACAGTGTTAATTAGAGGTCTTCAGAAGCACTTAGGACTAGTTTCACACAACTGTAAATTAGATATTTTTATTTATTTCGTTTTGGTGTTTGAATTGTCTGCAACAATTTTTCTTTAAAACTAAATTAGCTTTATCTTTTTTATATTACACAAAAATCTTTGGGATAAGGGGCAGTAATTTTCTCACAGATTCGTTTTTTATCCATTTTAAGCGTCAGTTGTCAGATAATTCTTTCATTTGAACCGCAGCGAGTTTTATCCGGAAATTATAAAATGATCTACTGAATTTGTGAACTTGTAACTCCGGAACAGAAAATTGCAGCTTTTTGAAGTTTGCACCGTTCGAATTCTTGGAGCTTTTTCGTCACGACAGTTGAATATGAACTGAATATCACTTTGGTAGGGGTTGAACAGAGCGATAAATGATGGTGCCACTTTCCGATTGCCAATTTTCCGAAAAAAAATAAAAATTCCGGAAAATCGGGGCATGTCTTTTGAAAAATTTGCGACTAAAAGAAAGAAATAAAAAAAAGTTGACAAAAAGTACGACAAAAGCAAGGGGACAAAAAAAGCGAAAAGACGGCAAATAAGGACAGGGAAACGCTAGAAAAAAATCCACACAAAAATACAAAAAAAAAGTGACATTACTTTCAAATATATACAATAGTTTTTTTTTTATTAAAAACTTAATAAAATGATGGAGTTTTGTATGAATCATATTTATAGAGAAAAAAAAACAAAGAGAATTATTCCATGAAAATCTACAGATTTTCTTCTGAAAGCAGTTTTTTATTCGGAAAAGTCAAGTTAGTTAGAACACTCCCCGGAAAATAATTTTCAAAAAAATTGAGATATTTTCGGTGAAACCGGATTCTTATTCCAAAAGGGTCAATTAGCTAAGAAATCAAATTTCACAGAGCTGCGTGTACTAATAAGGAAGTTAGGATAGCATTCCTAGAACGGTGACAATCTGCGAAAAGCAATTTTCAAAAAAAATTCAAAAAAATTTGGAGATTCTTTCTAAAGTCAATTCTTATTTCGGAAGATTTGGTTAGCTAAGAAGCCAAATAGCAGGATCCTGTGTGCCCTAATATGCATGTATTACGATGACATGGCCAAAAGGATAACTCTCCACGGAAAGCAATTTCCGAAAAAAAAATCAAAACTTTAGGAGCATTTTCTCTGAAGCCGGATTCTGATTTAGGAAAATCCAGTTAGTTAAAAGGCCAAATTTCATAGTTCATTTTTTCGAAAGTGAGAAAATCTGAAAAATCGGGAATTGTTGAAGCCGGATTCTTACTCTAGAAGGTCAAGTTGGCTAGGAAATCAAATTTTAGAACACGTTGTCTAGTGTCCTAATCGGCAAATGAGGATGTCATAGATAAGCAATTTTCTAAAAAAAGTCTAAAAAATTTGGAAATTGTTTCTAAAGTCGAATTCTTATTTCGCCAGTTTCGGTTAGTTAAGAAACCAAATTTCAAGAAATTAGGATGGCATGTCCAGAATGGTGACAATATGCGAAAACCAACTTTCGAAAAAAAATTTAAAAAAATGAGGACTCTTTCTGAAGCCGAATTCTCACTCAGGAGGGTCCAATTAGTTAAACATCCAAATTTCAGAACACTAGGTGTCCTAACAAGCAGTATGGTTAGAAAATAGTTCTTTCGGATAGGTAATTTTTTCGAAAAAAAAATCAGAAAAATCGGAAAATGGTTTTAAAGCCGAATTCTTATTCTAGAAGGTCAACCTAACTAAAAGATCAAGTTACAGAACGGTCCGTGTCCTAATCAACAATTTAGGGAAACATGACCAGACTAGCGGCAAAAAAAAATTTCAAAAAAGTATAAAAATCGGCAGATTTCTCTGAAAGCCGATTCTTATTCGGGAAGATCGATTTGTTAAGAGGTGACATTTTACAACACTGCATACCTAAATAAACAAATTACAATGACATTCCTGGAGTGGTGGCACTCTGCGGTAAGTGATTTTTGAAAAAAAATCCAAAACAGGTCAAAAACAGATTTTTTTTTTCTGAAATCGAATTTTTTCGAGAAGTTCGAATGAGCTTGGAGACTAAAGTACAGGACACTGTGTGGCCTAATCAGCAAATTAGGAAGCAATTTTCGAAAAAAATTTAAAAAAATCTAGAGATTGTTTCTGAAACCGGATTCTTGTTCTGGACGTTTCAATTAATCAAAGCCAAATTGCAAAATGCTATGTAACCTAATTAACAAATAAGGCTAGAACCGTGGCATTTTGCGATCAACAATTTTCGAAAAAAAATGGAAAATCGGCAGATTTTTTTCCGAGAGCAACATTTTTATTCGAAAAAGTCAAGTTATTTAGGAAGCGAAACTGCATTGTCAAATAAAAAAATTAGGATGGAATACCTAGAACTGTGGCACTCTGCGATAAACAATTTTCGAAACAAAAATTAAAAAAAAAAAACAAGAAATGAAGTCGAAAAATACGAAGGTTGTAATCAATCCAAGAAATTATTTACTCACTGTTCAAAGGTGTTTTAGAAAAAGTCAAATATTTCGTATTTTAAAAATTGAGCTTATGACAAAATTGTTAAAAATCCATAAAATCTCCATGTGTTGATGGTCCCGGACGAAGATTTTCGGAACATTCGACTTCAAATTCAAATTAAAAAAAAAAAAACAAAAATTGTCATATTTTCTTTTTACGAGTTTGACGAAACGATAGGAATTTTCGAAGAAATTGAGCAAAAAAACACTTCTGAACGTCAAAATAAACAAAGGAATCTCTAGGCGATTTTCACATGTATTCAGGAAAAGGCCTTTTTTTTATTTTGAATAATTGAGCTTTTTACAAAATTACCGAAAAATCCATAAAAATTCTAGGATACAGATCTCTAACTGAATCGAAAAACAGTGTGATATTCCAAAACTGCCATATTTAAGTTTAGCGGTTCTGGAAAAACGATAAAAATTTTCGAAAGTGTTCGAGAAAAAGTCAAAAATTTTATGTTAAACAATTGAGCTTTTGATAAAGTTATCCAAAAATCAATAAAAAATTCTAGGGTATACATCCCAATGGGATAAATGCAAAAACATACTGTGCTGATGGTTGTGGACTGAGATTTTCCAAATATTCGATTTTAGAATCCAATTTGGCGATTTTGGACAAATACTACGAATTTTCGAAAAAATGAAGCCGAAAAACACTTCCGGATGTTAAAATCAGACCAACAAATGATTTACTTAATTTTCAAAAATGTTCCAGAAAAAGTATAAAAGATATTGAAAAATTGAGCCTTTGACAAAATTACCTAATAATTCATAAAAAATTCTGGGATGTAGATGTCGATGAGTGGAATCGAAAACCAGCGTGTTCAAGATTTTCGAAATATTCGGTTTTAAAATCTGAGTTTCAAAATATTCTAAAAGTACCATATTTCAGTTGAAGATTCTGGAAAAATTTAAAAATTTTCGAAGAAATGAAGACGAAAAACACTTCCGGAGGTTGAAACCAACCCAGAAATGATTTATTTAGTTTTCAAAGCTGTTTTAGAAAAAATAAAAAAAAGATCCTGAAAAAATGAACTTTCGTCAAAATTATCTATCCATCCACAGAAAATTCTGTGATACAGATCTCCCTGAACTTAATCGAAAACACGGCGTTAATGGTTCCGAATTAGAATTTTTGAAATCTTCGGTTTCAAGACCTGATTTCTAAAATATTCCAAAAGGGCCTTATTTCAATTGCACGATTCTCAAAAAATCATACGAATTTCGAAGGTTGAAATCAACCCAAGAAATAAATTACATATTTACCTAATTTTCAAAAGTGTTCTAGAAAAAGTAAAAAATTTCAAATTTCAAAAATTAAGCTTTCAAAAACATTTCCTGACAATCCATAAAAATATAGGATCAGTCGGATTTAAAAAAAAAATCAAAAATTGTCATATTAACTAAATTTTAAAGATTTTGAAAAAATGGTAGGAATTCTCGCAAAAATTAAGCAGAAAAAAGTTCCGGACCGCAAAATGAACAAAGGAAACTTTCTTTAGGTAGAATTTACGTATGTGTTCGGAAAAAGACCATTTTTTTCTAATTTGAAAAATTGAGCTTTTGTTAAAGTTGTTTAAAATTCCATAAAAAATTTTAGGATAGAGATCTCGACTAACTAAAACGAAAAACATCATGGTTCTGGAGCCAGGATTTCGATATACTTGATTTTTAAAACTCATTTTCAAAATATTCCAAAAGTACCATATTTTAGTCCGGTGATTATGGAAAAATTAGAAGAATTTTCGAAGCAATGAAGCCGAAAAACACTTCCGAATGTTGAAATCAAACCAGAAATGATTTACTTAATTTTCAAAAAAAATATAAAAAAAAGATACTGAAAAAATGAGCTTTCGTCAAAATTATCTATCCATCCATAGAAAATTCTGTGATGCAGATCTCCCTGGACTTGATGGTTCCGGATTAGAATTTTCGAAATCTTCGGTTTCAAAATCTGATTCCTAAAATATTCCAAAAAGGCATTATTTCAATTGGACGATTCTGAAAAAATCATTCGAATTTTCGAAGAAATAAAGCCGAATACCACTTCCGGAGGTTGAAATCAACCCAAGAAATAAATTATTTACCTAATTTTCAAAAGTGTTCTAGAAAAAGTAAAAAATTTCAAATTGCAAAAATTAAGCTTTCAACAAAATTTCCTGACAATCCATAAAAATATAGGATCAGTCGGATTTAAGCAAAAATCCAAAAATTGTCATATCTATTAACTAAATTTTGAAGATTTTGAAAAAATGGTAGGAATCCTCGCAAAAATTAAGCAGAAAAAAAGTTCCGGACGCCAAAATGAACAAAGGAAACTTTCTTAATTAGAATTTACGCATGTGTTCGGAAAAAGACCATTTTTTTTTAATATGAAAAATTGAGCTTTTGTTAAAGTTGTTTAAAATTCCACAAAAAATTTTAGGATAGAGATCTCCACTAACTGAAACGAAAAATATCATGGTTCTGGGGCCAAGATTTCTAAATATTTGATTTTTAAAACTGGTTTTTAAAATATTCCAAAAGTACCATATTTTAGTCCGGTGATTCTGGAAAAATTAGAAGAATTTTCGAAGCAATGAAGCCGAAAAACACTTCCGGATGTCGAAATCAACCCAGAAATGATTTACTTAATTTTCAAAAAAAAAATATAAAAGAAAAGATACTGAAAAAATGAGCTTTCGTCAAAATTATCTATCCATCCATAGAAAATTCTGTGATACAGACCTCCCTGGACTTAATCGAGAACACGGCGTGTTAATGGTTCCGGATTATAATTTTCGAAATCTTTGGTTTCAAAATCTGATCCCTAAAATATTCCAAAAGGGCCTTATTTCAATTGGACGATTCTGAAAAAATCATACGAATTTTCGAAGAAATAACGCCGAATACCACTTCTGGAGGTTGAAATCAGCCCAAGAAATAAATTATTCACCTAATCTTCAAAAGTGTTCTAGAAAAAGTAAAAAAATTCAAAATGCAAAAATTGAGCTTTCAACAAAATTTCCTAACAATCCATAAAAATATAGGATCAGTCGGATTTAAAAAAAAATTCAAAAATTGTCATATCTATTAACTAAATTTTAAAGATTTTGAAAAAATGGTAGGAATCCTCGCAAAAATTAAGCAGAAAAAAAGTTCCGGACGCCAAAATGAACAAAGAGAACTTTCTTAGTTAGAATTTACGCATATGTTCGGAAAAACACCATTTTTTTTAATTTGAAAAATTGAGCTTTTGTTACAGTTGTTTAAAATTCCACAACAAATTTTAGGATAGAGATCTCGACTAACTGAAACGATAAATATCATGGTCCTGGAGCCAAGATTTCGAAATATTTGATTTTTAAAACTGGTTTTCAAAATATTCCAAAACTACCATATTTTAGTCCGGTGATTCTGGAAAAATTAGAAGAATTTTCGAAGCAATGAAGCCGAAAAACACTTCCGGATGTTGAAATCAACCCAGAAATGATTTACTTAATTTTCAAAAAAAATATAAAAGAAAAGATACTGAAAAAATGAGCTTTCGTCAAAATTATCTATCCATCTATAGAAAATTCTGTGATACAGATCTCCCTGGACTAGATGGTTCCCGATTAGAATTTTCGAAATCTTCGGTTTCAAGATCTGATTTCTAAAATATTCCAAAACGGCCTTATTTCATTTTGACGATTCTGAAAAAATCATAAGAATTTTCGAAGAAATAGCGCCGAATACCACTTCTGGAGGTTGAAATCAGTACAAAAAATAAATTAATTGCCTAATTTTCAAAAGTGTTATAAAAAAAGTAAAAAATTTCAAATTGCAAAAATTGAGCTTTCAACAAAATTTCGTAACAATCCATTAAAATATGGGATGAGTCGGATTTAAAAAAAAATCCAAAAATTGTCATATCTATTAACTAAATTTTAAAGATTTTGAAAAAATGGTAGGAATCCTCCCAAAAATTAAGCAGAAAAAAAGTTCCGGACGTCAAAATGAACAAAGAAAACTTTCTTAGTTAGAATTTACGCATGTGTTCGGAAAAAGACCATTTTTTATAATTTGAAAAATTAAGCTTTTGTTAAAGTTGTTTAAAATTCCACAAAAAATTTTAGGATAGAGATCTCGACTAACTGAAACGAAAAATATCATGGTTCTGGAGCCAAGATTTCGAAATATTTGATTTTTAAAACTGGTTTTCAAAATATTCCAAAACTACCATATTTTAGTCCGGTGATTCTGGAAAAATTAGAAGAATTTTCGAAGCAATGAAGCCGAAAAACACTTCCGGATGTTGAAATCAACCCAGAAATGATTTACTTAATTTTCAAAAAAAATATAAAAGAAAAGATACTGAAAAAATGAGCTTTCGTCAAAATTATCTATCCATCCATAGAAAATTCTGTGATACAGATCTCCCTGGACTTGATGGTTCCCGATTAGAATTTTCGAAATCTTCGGTTTCAAGATCTGATTTCTAAAATATTCCAAAAGGGCCTTATTTCAATTGGACGATTCTGAAAAAATCATACGAATTTTCGAAGAAATAACGCCGAATACCACTTCTGGAGGTTGAAATCGGTACAAAAAATAAATTAATTGCCCAATTTTCAAAAGTGTTATAAAAAAAGTAAAAAATTTCAAATTGCAAAAATTGAGCTTTCAACAAAATTTCGTAACAATCCATTAAAATATGGGATCAGTCGGATTTAAAAAAAAATCCAAAAATTGTCATATCTATTAACTAAATTTTAAAGATTTTGAAAAAATGGTAGGAATCCTCGCAAAAATTAAGCAGAAAAAAAGTTCCGGACGCCAAAATGAACAAAGGAAACTTTCTTAGTTAGAATTTACGCATGTGTTCGGAAAAAGACCATTTTTTTTTATTTGAAAAATTGAGCTTTTGTTAAAGTTCTGTGAAATTCCACAAAAAATTTTAGGATACAGATCTCGACTAATTGAAACGAAAAACAACGTGTTGATGGTCTGGGGCCAGAATTTCGAAATATTTGATTTTTAAAACTGATTTTCAAAATATTCCAAAAGTACCATATTTTGGTCCGGTGATTCTGGAAAAATCAACACAAGAAATTGTTCACCTAACTTTCAAAGTTTTTAAATCTACTTCAAATTCAGTTCACCAGTTAATTTGACAACTCTAAATACCAATTTCTGGATAATTCTCTCAGTTGAAAATCAGTCAAGGTTTATCCGGAATCTAGAAATGATCTATTGGATTTACGGGCTTTTAACTCCGGAATAGACAATCGTAGTTTCTTGAAGTTTGCGCAGTTCGCTTCCTTCGACTTTTTTATTTTTAGTCGCCACGGTTGAATTTGAAGTCGGATGTCGCACTTGTTGGGATTATAGAACGACACGTTCGGATAGGTACTTAATTTTCCGATAATAATCAGAAAAAATTCAGATTAAAACTTAAATGGGGAGATAATAGTAGAAATTTTAAAGTCAAACTTACTATCAGCCCTGTCAACTGGCTAAGCGAGCAGCACCTTCTGAGCATTCGTGAATGAAGAAAAGAATAGAATCTAAGTATTTCCATTAAAACAAATGGAAAATGTTTTCTCTCATGAGCAGTTAATCAATTTTAAGCCTGTAATATCTTTTTAAATATTAAGTAAAATTTATTGAAAGAAGAAAAACTCGTTCTGCGTTTATGCCATTTCCTAATCAACATTTTAAGCTTATGGAGTATTAGTAAAAATTTATAAACGTACTCTCTCTTCAATATTCCTTTAGCAAATGTAGTTGAAATGCCAGAAACGCCGCACATTCGTTGTATTTGTAAACTTAACGCCGACATTTCCATTATGAACAGCACACCTGTCACAACTAATCTATTTGTTTGTTTCAGAAAACGAAATAAAAGACCTCGGCATAAGAATATACAGCGGCTCCGCCAGCACCCCATCGAAAGTGGCCCTAATCCTGTGCATCATATACAGTTTCCTAAAGTCCCTTAACTAAAAATGACGTGCTCTTAGTTTACGCATTGACATTTTCTTTGTATGATAGATTCACTAATAGGTATCACACCAAAACGTATGTTTTTCGGCGCAACAATCTCAATCGTGGATTGATAATGTTGCGCCTCATGCTATAAATGTGCACTTTGTAAATGATAACCTTACTTTCTTTAAAATAAGTTTTTTATACTCGCCTATTAAGTATGGTAAAGCGAAATACTTTTCTTTCGCGACTAGGAATTACACGATATGTTTAAGTAACTCTGTGTTATAACTAACATAGTGCCATATAAATTAAAGCAATGTAATTGTTAAATGTTTCTGCTACTCGATGATTTATTGTCATAGTTGACTTCTCAGATTGAATATTTCGCGTTGATTTATAGATGCGTTGCAGGCACGTGTTAAAACACCGAATTTCGAGACCGGAGGATGTTGCTTTTGGGAAAAGTACGCTTAAACGTGTCAAACACGACAGAGCTAGAGATTTATATTTATTTGTAAATACATAAAGCGGTGTTTTAACATTTACACTTCCACTTGCGTTTTCTGTAAAAGGGTCCAAATAGCCTCGGCTTTGATTATTTCGACCGCTCCGGCCGGTGCAGCCGTAGAGGTCATTCTTGCACACCCTACAGACGTTTAGTTTTCTCCGACCACAGCAGCGCCATCTATGCAACTGCTGGCCTTGCCGAGGCTGCGCCGGCCATCTCACTTGTGCTCTTTCCTCTTAGTTGACGAAATCCCTTAATTGTGAACCTGCCATTATATACGTACCTACGCTAATTTTTATATGTAAATACATATAGCATAGAAGCTTTTAAAATATTTCTACTTATTCTATATACACAGTATTACTGTAAATAATTAAGTGTATTTTAAAACTAAAGAGTTAACTTAAGATTTGCTCCGGCTTGGAAACGTCCAGTTCCAGGCTGGAGCTCCGTGATGCAAATGATGAGTGTATGGCTCCATGTGTAATTTAGGAAAGATTATTTTTATTATGTATAAGATAAGCAGCTTATAAGTGTCGTGATATATGATAATCATACTCTTACTTACCTACATTTTAGATTAACTACCACCAGATTTTATTCGGCCCTTCGAAATCAAAAGTATACTAGGCTACTAATATGTGAACTGTGTTATTTATTAACCACTTTTATGTGCTAATCGAGGTGAGACTCTCAGTGCTACGTGGACTAAGTGGAGGGTTGGATAAGTTGAGGCGTTGTGCTTCGCAGAATTTATGATTGTATGTCACACACGGAACTGAAAATTAATATGAATAAACCATGTTTATATTGTAATTGTTTTGTCTTAATCCCAAAATATCCAAATATAATCAACAAAATCTGTAGTCGAGTTACTCTTATGTGACAGCTGTATCTGTCAAAATTAAATCGACTGTGTCTACGCTAACACAAAAGGAGCTTTTGACACCTCCTCTAATTTTATAAGTATTATGATTAGTAAAGCTCGGAATTATATGCAAAACAATTGCTAAAATATGTAAGAAAAATTACTTTTTGATTAGATTTCTTTATACCAAATCGTAAAGAAAAGACCCACTTTTCTTTATATAGCAACAAGATAACAAATTCAATTATTATTTATTCGAATAAATATTAAAACTACAATTGTTAATGTTAGAATGTGTAATACTTAAACACTTTGAACCATTAAAGGATAGTGATGATTGATGAACTTCAGAAGGTGACGAACATGGAGAATGTTGACCAGAAAGTAGAAGATTTCAACTTTTCAGCCTGTAGGCATAAAGATAGGAAAAGTTATAGGACATTATTAAATGAATGTATTAGACAGAACTAACCTTTTCATGGAAAAAACCAAGCATAACTTCTTCGTCGATATTTCTCACTTTCTTCGAAGTCCTTCAAGAATCGAAAATATTATACATCGATTCCTGATATCACGATTTCCTCCTTCCATTTTCACAAAATTTCGACTGCACGAGCACAACAGCACAATTTTGAAATTTCTGTTGACTTTCTTCAAATTTTATTTCCATGGAGATCCAAAAAAGCGTATTTTTCGTTTTTAAAATTTTTGTATTTCGCTTTAAAAATTCTAGTTCTATTTGAATGTCCGAAAAAACGTTCGATTGCGCCTCGATTAGAAATCTAGCGACTCGTAAAGAAAAAGACCACTTTATAATATGTTTTTCTAGATTTTCCATATTAAATGAATGTATTCGTTCACTTAAAATATTGTTACGTTGAGCGGGCGAATAAAATTGGCTTGGGTAAAACTCAACAATTTATTTCTTAATAACTCGAATTACACGACTAACTATAACAGCGATTATGTACAGAATAACTTCGTAGTTCACTTGGAAGAATTCGCTCACTCGCTGGACTCGGCTTGTTGACTGAATAATCATTCCCGACGGTGGCCTCTATTTAAGTCCATATTTCCGCGATCGAGCTCTTTCTCGAATTGGGTATTCGCGACTTCCGCTTCCAGGCTTTTCGAGCGTCGCTCGATGAGTATCGTGTTGTTCAAAGAATAATATGTATATTAAGAAAAAATTATGATGTTTTTTTTAATTCTTAGAAACTTAGAATACGTTTAGAATAGTAAATTTTTGTAAGGAAATATGAATTTTGAAGAATCTGGAGGTCTCGATACTTTATCGTAAGAATTTCTGAGAATCTTCGAAGTTCTTGGTGTTCTAGGTATTTTTGAAAGAATTTTGAAGAATCTCGGTGTCACTCGATATTTTGTTTTTGTAAAATTAAAGAATCTCTAGGCTTTTAGTGTTTTAGTTTTGGTAGAATTTTAAGGCATCCTAGGACCTGGGTGTTTTATTTTCTAAAGAAGTTCAAGGAACTTTGGGGCCCGCTTTATTTTTGAAAGAATTTGAAAGAATCTTATAGGTACACCATGTTTTGTTTTTGAAAGAATTTTGAATAATCTCTGGGGTAGACAGAGTTTTTTTTTAAGATTTTTATAGAATTTCAGGGCCTTTTGGTGTTCTGTTTTTATAAGAAAATGAAAGCACCTGGAAACCCGAGTGTTTTAATTATGTAAGAAGTTTACAAAATTTGAAAATAAAATAATCTTGCAGGCCCTCAGTGTTTAACTTTTGAAGAAATCTTACAAAACGTCAGAGATATCATGTATTGTATTTTTGAAAGAACTTTAAAGAAGCTCCGGGACACAAAAAAATTTGGAAGAATTTTCAAGAATCTTGGAAGTCCCTAGTGTTTTATTTTTGAAAAAATTTTGAAGAAGCTCAGGGACGTTGGATGTTTCGTGTTTGAACAAATTTCACAGCATTGGTGTTTTATTTTCGGACGAATTTGAAAGGATCTTGAGAACCTATGGTGTTTTATTTTTGAAAGAATTTTAGATAATCTCTCTCTCTCCTTTTTTAAAGATTTTTACACAGTTTCAGCCCTTTCTGTAGTCTGTTTTTGTAAGAAAATTAAAGCACCTGGAAGCTCTAATATTTTGATTATGCATGATATTTACAAAATTTGGGTGCCTTGGTGTTTAATTCTCGGAAGAATTTGAATGAGGCTTAAAGGATCTCGGAGACATAAAGAAATTTTGAAGAATTGGTATTTTATTTTGAGAAGAATTTTTACGAACCGTGGAAGCCCCTGGTGTTTCAATTTGGGAAAAATTTTGGAGAATCTCTAGGCCATTGGATGTTGGTTTTTGAAAGAATCCTTATACAAATTTTCCATTTTAAACATGTTTTAAGTTTCATGTTGTGAAAACAAATCTACAGATAGTACAACAAAAAGGCAAAAAGTAAGCCCGCCCACCCGCCCTGTCTCAATTGTGATGATTTTTTTATTCGCCGTGAACCAAGGGGGCGGAGCTTAACTGCAAAATATTTATTTCTTAACAAGAAATTACAAACATGTTTTTGAGTATCGTGTTGTTCAAAGAATATTATGTACATTAAGAAAAAAAGGCAAAATATAAACCCCGCTTCTTACTATTTAAATCGGGGCAGGTATGCGTGGGGCTTAGTATTTGACTTTATTTTTTTCTTAATATACATAGTATTCTTTGAACAACACAATATTCAAGAACATATTGTTAATTTCTTGTACAGAAATAAGTATTTTGCAGTTCAGCTTCGTTCGCTTGGTTCACGACGAATAAAAAAACTCATCACAATGGAGATAGGGCGGGTGGGCGGGGCTAAATGTTGCCTTTTTTTCTTAGTATGTGTAGATTTATTTCGACAACAAGTTTTCACTCTATTAATTTTTATAGTTTCTCCAAAAATCTGCATTTGTTCGCCTTTACTTTAGGGATTTTTATATAAAATTATGTTCTTGCATAACGCATTTGGTCAGTGGATTGTCTAAACTGTGTCCGAATACTTTGTAAAGTATTTTAGGAAACATTAAGAATTTCGCCAAATTTGGTTCCAAGGAACCGGTGAAAACCAACAACCAGTAATTAAAAACAGATGAAACTACACCAACTTATTTTCATTTTTTCAGAATAATTTAGCTTCATAGGGACACCTACAGGATTTTTATAATAAAACAAACTTAAATAAGTATTACTCCTATAATGTATTTTCAGGATGTGTTTTCTCTTTAAGTCTAGAGGTTTATTCTTACAATAGAACTCAAAAAGCTTCGCTGAGACTTTTTACTGCACACTTTTGCGAGAATAAAGCAAAAAAAAAAGTTAATGCGAGCGCAGAGAGCACGTTCAGGTGGAATTTAAAAAATTATTTATTGGTGTTCCTGAGAAGCTAAATCGTTATGGACAATTTTGTTATTTAAAAATGTGAGTTTAAACATTGTAATCAGCTGCTGAAACATGCTGAACGTACTCGCCGCGCTCGCCTTTTAGAAGCTGATTTTTTTTTAGAGTAATTTACAAAGGTAGATCTCGGGAATTATTATAATACTCCAGTTGCCGTTGATGGTAATTTTGATGTTCAGTTTTTGCCGTATTTAAAGGAGTTGTAAAAGAAACGTGGAGGAATTAAGTTAATTACTACAAAAATGTAAGCCCCGCCCACCCGCCCCATCTCAATAGTGATGATTTTTATTATTCGTCGTGAGCCAAGAAGGCGTAGTTTAACTGTAAAATCCTTATTTCTATACGAGAAATTAAAAGCATGTTTTTGAGTATCGTGCTGTTCAAAGAATAATATGTAAATTAAGAAAAAAAGGCAAAATATTAACCCCACCCACCCACCCCATCTCAATTCTGACGTTTTCCTTTTACATCTCAGAAACCTAAAACTAAATTTTTCTAAGGAAATATGGATTTTGCAATTAGGCCCCGCCCCTTGGTCTGACAACGAATGAAAAATTCATCACTAATGAACTTGGGATGGATGTGGCTGGGGCTTAATTTTTGGCTTGTTTTTTTCTTAATATACGTAGTATTTTTTGAATAACACGATACTCAAAAACATGTTTTTTATTTCTTGTAGATTAATAAGGATTTTGCAGTTAAGCTCCGTCCACTTGGCTCACGACGAATAAAAAAATCATCACAATTGAGATAGGGCGGGGCTACATTTTGCCACTTTTTCTTAGTATGTGTAGACCTATTTCGACAACAAGTTTCACCCTATTAATTTTTATAGTTTTTCGAAGAATCTGCATTTGTTCGCCTGTACTTCAAGGCAGAGGAAAGTTATGTCTAAATGGGTTTTTTATATAAAATTATGTTCTTGCATAACGCTTTTGATTAATGGATTGTCTAAACTGTGTCCGAATACTTTCGTCAAATTTGATTCCAATGAACCGATGAAAAGCAAAAACTAATAATTAAAACAGACGAAACTACAGCAACTTATTTTGATTTTTTCAGAATAATTTCGTTTCATAGGGACGCCTACAGGATTTTTATAATAAAACAAACCTAAATTTTATATTGTACTCTCAGGATGTGTTTTGTCTTTAAGTCTAGAGGTTTATTCTTGCGATAGAACCTAAACAGCCTTGTTGAGACTCTTCACTACACACTTCTGTGAGAATAAAGCAAAAAAAAAAAAATTAATGCGAGCGCAGCGAGCACGTTCAGGTGGAATTAAAAAAAATATTTAATGGTGTTCCTGAGAAGCTAAATCATTAAGAACAATTTTGTTATTTAATAATGTCTGTTTAAACATTATTTGTAATCAGGTACTGAAATATCCTTAACGTGCTCGCTGCGCTCGCCTTTCAGAAGCTGATTTTTTTAAAAGGAATTTACAAAGGTAGATCTCGGGAATTATTATAATAAAATCGAAGGAGCTTCAGAATGCGAGTGCAGCGAGCACATTTAGATGCCC